GTCTTTTCTCTGTAAAAATTGAATCAACAATTAATAAAGATCACAATTTGAGAAGTGCCTCGCAAAAAAAAAAAAATGAATATTTATTAAATAATTATTTATTTTAATATAATTATTATCACTTTGAATATTTTTAAATTTTTTTAAAATAATAATTTTAGGAGTTTTTATTTGAAAAAAATTTTTTGTATAGAGATTTCCAGAAATTTTTTTGATATTGTGATTGTTATTATTAATGTGTAAACATTTTGTTAGAGAAACTAATGGAAAATAAGTTTAAACAAGTTTGGCTTTGTTATTAAAAAAGTAAGAAATTTGATTAATTGTTAGTTATATATTAATCTTTTGATAAGATAGAATTGAATATAGTTTTTGTATTAATTGAAAAAAAAATTTTTTTTAAATAGTGATAGAATAAAAAAATTAGACATAGTATTGTTTTTGATAGGAAAAGAAAAAGTGAAAATAAAAAATTTGTAAAGGTTAAACATTAGATCCAATAATTATGTTTAAATGTATAGTTAAATATATATTTGTGAAATAGAGAAATATAAAAGAGAAAAGAAAACAATTATAATAGTCATATGGAAGGGATGGTTTTTAAAAACAAAAATTATAAAGAAAAAAATGTTATAAGTCTTTTCCTATATAATCAAAAATTAAAAAAAACTCTTAACTTACTTAAGTCTTAATTAAAGATCTTATTCTATTGCAATAGTGTTTTTTAAGTCTTTATATTTTTTTGTTTAAAGTTTATTTGTCTTAAGAAAATAAAAAAAGAAAAACATTTTTTGAAAGAAAATTTTTTTAAAAATCAGTAGTAAATATGTAAAAGTTTTTTGATATTAATATAGTTATTATTTTTATATTGTTAACTTATTTAATAAACCTTAAAATTAAATAGATCAATGGATAACAGTAATAGAGAACCACTTAATTTAAAGGAAAATAGCCTTAGTTGTGATATTAGTATTGATAAAGTGAAGAAATTGGACAAGGTTTATTTCCAAAGCAAGAGGCATGATATTTTGGTTGTGGATTCAAGATGATTTTTATTAGAGAGAGTTGAAAAGAGTTAGAAAATTTCTTGAACAGTTGAAAAGAATAGCTATACTATTTATATATGTTTAAAACATGTAAAATTAAAAATAAATAAATAATGAGATATGCCAGTTCAGTCAAATATGCTTGATATTTTTGATCACATCACTCAGATTGTTCAGACTATTCTGATCAATCAGGTCAATTAGGCTAATCCAACATATCAGTCATATCCAACAGAAATGTTATATTTGCTCGTTATGTTATATATGTTAGATAACTAATAATAGAAACAATAAAGTAATATAATACTATAAAATAATAATTTAAAAATAGTACTATAAATACTTATAACAATATATATATTTTTATATATTTTTAAAATTTAATTTTTTGTATATTATTATTTTTTGATTTTAATATTAAAGCAGAGTCATAAAATTTAATTGAAATAATAATATTCAATTATTTATATTATTTTATTTAATATTATTTAAAACAAAACATATATTGAATAAATTATAGTAAATTATCAAAAATCAAAATTATTTTTATTAATAACTTTGAAATTTATCAAAAAAAAAATTAAAAGTTTTAATATATTAAATTAATATATGTAATTAGATTTTGTTTTTGTAAGATAATAATAATACCTTATTAAAAATTTTGATTTGATATTTTGATTTAAAAATTAATATTAAAATTGAAATTAATAAATCAGTAAAATATTTATTCTAATATAAAATATTCAATTTAATTAAAGTATTGCAATAATACAAGTAAGTTTTAAATACTAAATTTAAAAATATGTATTTATTTTTTTATATTAATTATAATATATTGTTGCTTAACAATTCAATAACAATTAGTATTACAAGAATTGTTTTTTTATATAATCATATACATATAAATAAATTATTAAAAATATATTGATCCTTTTGAACTTAATTATTTTTTTATTATATGATTTTTATAGAAATATACTGTACTTAAAAGGTAATAAGCTAACATATATAACAATATAATAACAACACTTTTATAATATTGATATTGATTATAAATATAAATATATATTAATTATATTAAATTTAAATTATAATCATTATTATAATATTTTGATAAATTACTGTAAAAACCAAATGTTAAGATTTTTATTTATTAAAAAAACCTGTTCTTTTTCTTTTTCTTCTTTTTTTATAACTGTAGATTATGTTAGAAAAATAATTTGAATATTGATTAATTACAAGTTTTTTAAATTGGGATAAAAGATGGTTGTTAATCTAATCTAAAAAATTAAAAAATTTTTATTTTTTATAAACTTTTCTAAAAAGTTTTCCAGCTCGTAAACAAATGTTTGTTGCTTACATGGTTTAGCTTTAATATAATATTGCGTATTCATACGACCTATAATATTTTAAAAATTCATTTTTATATGATAAACGTGTTACCACACCAGGTATTATAAATACGAATTTGTAAAGTTATCTTGTTCAAAATATATAGTTACAAAAGATCGTATACGGCATAACTGACTAATATCTGATTAGTAATGTTCTTAACCAATTCCTGTTTTAAAAAAAATAGAGATAATGATATTTTTTTTAGTGAATCATTGGTGATAAAAAAAAATCACAAAAAACAGGAGCTGTTTGATGCATAAGTAAATAAAAGGGTTAATGAAATTCTATGGATAACCAGCTATACCATATTCTTATTAATTATAGTGCTCGAGCTAAGCCTCAATGAAGCGTTCTCAGTAAAAGCGTATACAACGAAAATTTTTTTACAAACAAATCTGTGTTGTTTTTTTCAGACAATACAGTACAATGTTAGGAAAAAAAAAAGTTATATTCTGACGAATAATGATATCTTACTGGTCAATGTGTTGCATTGATGTTTTATTGTTCGGATGGTCGCCCAGCCAACCCGTTTGAAGACTTTTTTGGAGTAGCGTTCCTAATACGTATTGTTGGAGGCTTACCGTCACACTTTGTGACCAAGAGTGGGACGATTATCCATTGTTCTCGTAACCTTAAAAATTTTTTTGGTATAGCAGGAATTCCTGGGAATAATAAAGCATACTGTACGTGGAAAATGGCTATCGGACATCAAGAGAAAACGTCCGAGTCGCGTTGAGACTCGTAATTATACATTTAGTATTGTAATTTGAGGGTTGTGATTTTAGATCGCTTTCCAAGTGGCACAACACATGATCTTTCTTTTGTTTTTATTTATTCCCTCTTTTGGTCGGCAACAGGGTATTTATTCATACATCTTTAAATGGACATTGAGGCTCATTCCATTTTGAGAAATTTACCGATAAAATTTATTCTTCCGAACCGTACGACTTTTTTTCTATTGTTTTGATGGAGAAGGTTAAAAGAATGTATCGTCACATGTACATTGCCTGAAATTTTGTGCATCAGACAATGGGTCCTGAACAAGTGCGCGAAACGCATTCAATATAACCTTTTGAAAGTATCAAATTACCAGAAAGTGTAGTTTCTTTTCACACGTGACATTTTGAAAAACGAGTTCATTCAATATATAAACCATCAATTTCACCTTTAACTCGCCAACAATTAAAAAAAAAAAAAAATCAAAAAACGAAAACAAAAAAAACAAAAACGAACGAAAGAACAAAAACAAAAACAATACACAGCTATGCATTGGACTTTGATTCAAATTGTGCGTGCAATGTCAAGGTGTATAAGAATCTTATCTCAGACGGCAATGTATCTCCAATCACACAAACATTCGCACAGGGAAACCACTTCAAAGTATTGTTCCCCGAGATATTATTCTCCAAAGGCCAAGCCTGCAAGCATTTTATTACCAGACTCCAATTTACCAGATGCGAAATTTGCCAAATACGAGGTAATTTGGTAAAACAAAAAATCGAATTTTTTTGCACATTCATGATTTGTGTATGCGCATACAAAAGTTTTACGAAAAGAAAAATTCTTCATTATCCAAACAACAAACACAAAAATCCACGAGGAATTATCAATCTTTCGATTACACATCAACCTTCCGCATTGTAGTAATATATTAAGCACGCAAATCGTTATTTATTTAAGCTCTTTACAATTATGTTTTAATTTTCAAATTTTATTGTATAAAATTTGCCTACACATCAACCTCTTTTCTCTCTAAAAATTTTTTTTGTTATATACGTTGTTAAAAAAAAAAAAAGTTTAAGTTCCTTTCCTTCAAAAAAACAAAAAAGATAGAATAAAAATTTAATAAAAAATCAGAATGATAACAAATTCGAAAGAAAAACTGGTTACACTGCATACTATAAATGAATTTCGGAGACAATGTTTGGTATATATCGTTGGATCATTGGTCAATTTTTTTTCCTCACTTAAATACAGTCTCTATATTCCAATTATCATTGAGAAATAGACACTAGTATATATTTTTTTTTTTTTTAAAAAAAAAAAAAAAAGATAATGCACGCAAAAGCATATATTCATGCCACCAAAGGATTTTTCTTCTCAAACATGATGAATTTCCTGTGAATGGAATGCTATATTAAAGAACCATTTACTTTTCCTTATCGTCTTACGTGCATGTTCTTTTTAAGTCCTTGTTTTTCAAAATTTGAAAGAATCTTCTTCACACGTTCACTGTCAAACTATAAATACCACATACACCGTATATACTCGATTGAGGTAGCTATTACACAATCGAGATAATATTGCCATTGTCACTAATCGATTTACCATATTCAATCTCATTACGTATCCAAAGTCAGAAAAGCTATCTTTTATCGTGTATGCATATGCGCATAAAATCCAAGTACATGCATTCTTCTCTGGTATCGTACAGTCAACGCGAGAATAATTTCTTCACACAGTAGAGTCAATAAAAAAAAAAGATGTGTGTAGTACATCAACAAAACATATTTATTTTTCATTACATATTATCATTATTCTCATTGACCTTTTAAAATCCTCTACCTGTTTATTAATCAATTTATAAAAATAAGCCTATCATATACAACAAACATTCACGAGGTATAACTTTCCGGTTCGCCTAATTTAAATTCCTTACAGTATATCCCAATTGACCTAACTATTGGAGAATGAAACCAATTTGATTTTTATAATACAGTGATTTAGAATTACAACATGCCGTATCTACTTACTGTACATGTTATTGTATGTAACAACGATAAGATTCATAAGAAATGCCAAGTATAGGTGTAATGGATGTACTGTACATAGGTGGTCATTTGATATGGAATTTACCATTGGTGGTTAATACTCCCTGGTGTAAGTGTCTTTCTTTGATTCAATCAAGTGTACACGAGAACTTATTGTGAGCTATCATGCTTCCAAAAAAGAATCTGTAGAGAGCATAACTTGTATCCACATGATTTTCTTCTAGAAAATTTCGAACGACCATAAATTCCGTAATTCGTTGTACCGGGGTAACCTTATGTCGGAGATTAAACTCAGTTATTGTAACATTGCTGCTTGGCGATTCTTTATATACCCCGATCCTAGATATTTCGTGTAACGTAAAGCATATGTTACACTCAATTAATTGATGAGTAAATGGAATAAACAAACATAACCACCATTACGGGTTTTCATTGCGCAAATGAACTACTGTACAGTATTTGTAAAAATTCCGTAAATGAAATCAGTTTAGATGTGTCACGTTTTTTTCGACGATCAGATTTTAATAGATTGATAATCAACCCAATCATTCTTTCTTTATCATTGAAAGCTTTCCGACGTATATACAGTATATATGCAAGGTAATATCCGTCAAGTCCGGTTGGAACAGCGAAGAGTAATTCATCAGTTATCATATTGCAATTGTGAAACAGAATCTCCTAAAATTAATCAAGTATGCATTTGCATTACAGTATAGCGGAGATAAAATTCACGCATCATTTTCTTTTGTATGGATTCTTCGTGAGAACACTAATTTGATAAGATGTTGGAATGTTTATGGTGTCGAACTTTTTTATCAAGAACTACAAATATTTATGCTTATCTCTTGTTCATCAAATGTTTATGGGAATATTTGCATGTCAATGATAATTGTTTTCGATAAATATATAAATATCTACTGCATATCGCGAACTGATGATTAAGGCTTCGTGAAAAGATCACTTGTGCACAAATGCAATGAATAAAAATGATGCATCTTTGCGTTGTTCGATTTTTGTTTTTTTTAATTATAGAACAAAGAAATGTAATCTGTGATCTTTATGTGCATCAAAATAACTTTTATCTCCAATAAACAACCAATCTCTTGTACAATCCAATAATATGTCATAATGTAAACAAAACATGATAAGAACATTTGTTTTTTAAAAAAAAGATCATGAAAGTTTGTTTTAAAAAAGTTATTCGAGTATTATAAAATAATCTATTGATGCAATTCAATTTTATGATCTCGATAGATCGTTTCATCAAAAAAAGATCTATCCTTGTTGCGTCACGTTAGATTTAATAAAAATATGTGCATACATTATATCGTATTGGTTTTTTTTTATATCTTGACAAATAGTTTAGATGTTTGATGATATTCTATTTAACATGAATATATATTTGATCATGTCATTTTTACTACAATAAAATAATACAACATGTGGTTGTTATTTGTTTCTCTTATACTGTAATATCGATTGCTACGGTTGCGGCAAATCGTCATTTCCGCAATTACCGCATTTCCGCAATTCCACATTAAAAATATCGCAGTAAACGATCGTCAATCACTTGACATATTACACATTCGCTAAATATAGCAATTAAATACATGCCTATACTACTATTGTGGCAAGATTTCGATACCGTATTTGTTCAAATCATTGAGAAAGAAAAAAACTTGGAAATTTTTTTGTTACAAATCATCAGATAGTTTTTAAATTATTCTGTTATATTAATTGTGATTTTGACATGATTTCGTCACATGATTTTATTTATATGCTGTCTCGTAATTATCAACTCAACGAGCGGTCGGGGATATATTTGAAACATATGGATTGTTTCACGTTAATTAATTAATTCCGTACAAATAGAATAATCTGCCTTGAACGCGTACATCAAACATAAATGTTGCGTCACCTTTAATCGTTGTACGTTAATCAAGTATGACATAGTGCAGTTAGTTACGCATTCATTTATTGTGACATAATGAAAGAGGTTTTTATTTTTGCTTTATTCATAATCTTATATTTCTGTGCTTGGTAATATTGTATGTTTTCCTATCAAGTGTTATATGCATTGTATAATATGTACATTAAGAAAGGAAAAGAGAAAAATGAAATAAAACAAAAGAAAAATGAAAAACGCGAAATTAAAAAGTTTATTTGGAACATCTAATTTTAAATGTAGAAAATACTTTCCGTAGACATATTCATATCGTTATTCCATAAACGTAACGTGTGATCTTGATTAGCATAATTATCATTTTGTATGTTAAAGTTAAGAGTGAGGGGTTGGGATTGTTGTGGGTAGAGGCTGAATATTTCGGAATATTTGAGTAATGTGTCGGTGTCCATTCTTTTGAAATCCAGGTGCCCAAAATTACTAGGTTTTCGTTTAATCGAAAGTGTTTTTCGAAGATTATTCACGAGACCTTCGATGGTATTTACTCTCTCGGTCAGAAAGTCAAAGTATTCATCGTTTAGATCGCAATTGCCACACGAGCCATTATTATGCTTGTTTTTTATGATGGAGTTTTGATTGTTAACTCGACGAACAATCATGAAATGTTGCTTTCCCGTAACATCTGTTTTGTCGGGAGTAATGAGTGCCTTGCGACCGCGTGTCGACTTTTGACCTGGTTTTATAGAGTTCTTGGCAAACTTTTTTGACATTATTATTATGTGCAAATATATCTCTTTGAAAATATGTTAAAGTTTCAGATTTGGTTCCCACTTCCTAAAAAAAAACAACAACCCTTTTTATAAGAAATTCACAGCTTCTAGAAATTCTTTTGCATGCGGCTTCTTTGCTTAAAATAGAAGTAACACACTCTTTGTATTAACTTGAAGTCTTACAACTTTCACTATCGTTTTTTTATATAATAATATCAAACGAATTATTTGTGGATTCTTAACCCTCAAGAACAAAAAGAAATTTCATTTTAAAATTCCAAGTGAATATTTATGATTTTTCATGTTACTACTTGAATCATCGTCGATTTCTGGAGGCAGAGTTCCGGAGAAGAAGGTTCTCGCTTCCATCGGCATCGCAGTACATTATTTCTCCGTCCCTTATTTTTGCGCCATTACGTACTGTATCTGCGCCTTACAAAGTTTTCTATCGGGCGCTTCCGTCGGTTGACAGGGACATGGAATAGTCCAATGGTTAAGAAATGTGTGACAATGATATTATTATTTATTATTGGCACATGTTATATACAATATTATTACTCAATTTTTACATCTTCGTATGCTTCAAATTAAAATTTTCGATTATTATTGTTTATAAATCTTGACGTAAATCGACTTGTTTATTGTTATAGTTCTTTGTCAAAATATGCCGTTCGAATTGTCTTTTGATTGGGTGCAAACTTGTTAACTTCCCAAGTTAACAAACAATAACACGATCTAACAGGATTGTACGATATTATCGCCTGCAAACTAGATATCATGGGTTAGTTGATGCAGCCACCGGGAGGGGTTGAGCGAATTTTTCATAAAGCGAAGAGATTTGATCAGGTGATAATATCTATTTATTCTTTATTTATTATTGTTATTATTGGTTTCATATTTGCTATTTGAATTAATTTTCCTTTATCAAAATAATTTCTCTTTTTATAGTAAGATTAATCGAATTTTCCGGTATTAGATCTATTTAAAATTTTTATTCCAAGAATCGAGAATCGATAATTCGGTCAGTATAGTGAGACATATAATGTTTGTATTGGTCATAGTGCTTTCAGCCAAGGATTTTTTTTTTTTTTTTTTTTATCTACAAAAATTTAGCGAATCTCTCATGGCATATGACCCCAAACTCGGTCCGAGAAGTCCTTATGACCCCTTTAACCAAATACTGTACATGATTTATATGTTCTAATATTTGGCCTAGCATATTTTTCACTTTATTTTTCGTTTTCACAATAAAAATATGCAAAAAAAAAACCCCCCGGATTTTATTAAGACAAATTTGTATATGCTATATCTAATGTTGCCCCCATCACCTATTTTGTCTTTCTTTAACGAGTTTCATGTATTTCACAATATTTATCCTTTGATAATTACTTACTGGTATCAATTACAAATTGGTGAATAATTACAAAATGGCAGTTTGTTATTGTTAACATTTTAGTGTTTAATGGATTTTCTTTTCTTTTTTTTTTTTTTGACGATGACCCTTGAAACAACGATCGCAAAAACCCTTACAGATAGAAAAATGAGGGTAATCGCGACCTACTAAAATGAATCCCCGAATCATTAGGAGTCGCATTTGTTCTATTTTTAATTACCGCGGCGCTAACCATAAATCCCGGCAAAAAATTAAATTATAATAAATGACACATGTCATTCGGGATTTTGATGATAACTATCCTCCGCATTGATAAATGTCTTGACTTAATAAATTTATAGATTCTTTAAATAATTCATTGCGACGGCTATATGGTAAAAAATCGTACCATATAGTCTATAATCCATTGATAAGTTTTTCCGACTTTGACGTAACACCGAGACTCGATGTTAAGATCTTAGGAGACTTTAGGCTATTTTGATCGGATGAACGATCTTTTCAAAGTCGGTTAAAGATTCCGATTTCCTATCACATGATCATCCGACACTATTCGATTATTAATGAAATGGATTTTCCAGAAAATCCCCGAAAGAATTCTTATATGTCATGCCACAATCCATACTCTCATTCTACGGCAGTTTTATTTCTTTATTAACAAGGTTTATAATATTATTTTGAGATTTATAAGACACAGACAAACAACAATTGTAAATTGATCAAAGATTGTTTTATGTAAGTGATATAGAATGATGTAAATATAAAATATTTTTAGAATGCGTAGGTTAAATCTGAGTCTGAGTATTTTTCATGAAATACAGTATATTAAATACAAAAAAAAAACAAGTTTTTTTTAAAATCAAAATACCGCACGTATTTTTAGTAATTGTATTTTTTTTATTGCATCAGACATCTTTTTTCAAATAATCCATCGTATTACGTTATAATTAATTAATTAATTAATTAATTAAAATTGCTGATTTAATTTTTTCGATTAAGTTAATCAAACATATTTTATATGTATAAAATTAACATTGGATTGTTTAAATTATACAAAAAATTATAAATAGTTTTTTAATGTTGAGTAAGGTATTTCTCACTCATATTCTTTATTAATTAGATAAGAATATATTGTATAATTAATGTTTGGATTTTGAGATCCATTGCTATGCATATTAAGCTATCACCATATAAATATATTTTGAAAAAAAATTTTTACAAAAAAAAAAAAGAAAGAAACTATCTATTCTTGAAGGTTAATGTTTTTTTAAAAAAAATAATTTTTAAATTTATTTATAGTTTTTAAATCTCTTGTAAATAATTTGAGGTTTTTAAAATATAGATTAGTGTTTAAATTTCTAATAATATTATTTCAATATCAAATTGATATCAAATTTATTATAATAAGTTACAATCTATATACTAAGTTAATACTATTTTAATATTATTTTAGTATCAGTTCAAAACTCTAGTTAGTATTAAAAAAATTAAAAGCCAAGTTTATATAAATAAAAGAAAAATTAATAAGATATTAAAAAGATTTTAAATTTTAAATTTTTATTATATATTAAAGCCAAGTTTATAAAAATTAAAATTAATAAGTTATTGAAATTTTAAATTTTTATTATATACAGTATTTTTAAAAAATAAATATAACTTGTACTAATATATTGTTACTAATTTAAATTATTGCTAGTTTGTTTTTATTGTAAACTAGATATAAGATATTATTTTTAAATTCATGTTGCAATATATATAGAAATCATTAATATATAAATAAAATATATTGAAATATAGATATAATTTATTTAATAATATATTATAAATTTTAAAATGAAATTTATAAAGTTTAAATTATATTTATATAATTAATGGTAATTAATTTTAATAAGATCTTTGAATATGGTATCAATAGTAACAAGTCAATATAAAAATAAAAATACTATATAATTTAATATAGTTTTAAAATAGTTTATAAATAGTAACTTTTTGTGACACATAATAGATATATACTTGAATTAAATAAAATATATACTAGATAAAAAAAAAAACTCTTTTTCACAACACTTCAATTTATAAAAAATTTTCTTTTTTGATAATATCATAAACAGTAGACAATAAACAGTTATCAAGAGCCTCTTCCTAGGAAAAAGGTTTATTTTAGCTTACTACTGGATGCAAGGAGTTGATTAACTCTTCATAGAGAGGTAAATACTTTGGGAAGAGCAAAAACCTATTCAATAAACACTTTGCTTTACTGAACAAAACCTATATAAGCAACTTCTAAACAAAAGAAAATCTTTTTATCCATTTATATTCATTATTACCTACCATATTACAAAAATATATACAAAAACAAATACAATCTCATTCTCAAAAGACAGTATTTTATTTTTTCAGAGTTTTTGTTTTTTGCTAATGACAACTAGTGCAAAATTCATTATAATCTTTTGGCTAGTTATCAGTTCTCATTTATTTTTTTTTCATACAAAAAACTATAATCAGCTTACCACTACTTAAGAATCCTAACAACTCTCTTCGATTTTGTATTCAATTCTCAAGTTTATATTAAATTTAATAGGTAGAATATATCCTACCATTATTTTTAATAGTGTTTCAAACCTTATATGGTTTCCTGCAATTCTGTTCGATTCCAATTTTCAGAACTATACACCCACTAAAAAATCTATAATATACAAAATACTAATTATATACTGTATCACCAAATTATATCAAAACAACTCAATAATTACTAGATTGGAAGAGTACATGATCAGTGCCCTGTGTGGATTCCAGTAAAAATACAAAATAACAACAACCTATCATAACAATACAACAAATATCTGAAACAGGTTCCAGTTACTTTACAATTAACTCAATTCCACTATTAATATCACAATTAGACCAATCACATTATAACAACATATTTTAAATAACCAAACCAATCAAGTTGTGGCTTGTGTGACATCACTGTCCAATTAAAACAATTAATTTTTTTTTTAAACTGCTAAAGTGAGACTACACTCTAGTCTGTGTTTATTCATAGATAGGTCATTACATACAAGGTATATACAACGTTAATCTATATTAAACACTATGTATAAACTAGAATATATTCATGGGTTTTAAGCCATCTGGGTACAGCCTGTCACCTAAGATTTTCTTACATCTTCCAGCCACAAGATTGTAAACCTTTCAGTAAGATTCTTTAACACTATATGGATTACCTATCAGAGTACTGTGTCTTTGCCTTTTCTAGTTTTCTTTATAGAGCATTAAGCCTGAAGGATCACTATTTGGAAAGCAGATGGAACCTTATTGGCCAGGATTTGTTTCAATACCTTTAAACCTTATGGGGTTGACGATCCAATCCTTTTAGATAATGCCAGGCTTCAAGCATAAGCTACTTATTTAAGAGGGTGCAACTCCTCCAAAGTCGAGCTAAGTTTTAAAGGGAGTCTTCCATTCTGACAAACGTTACCAACTAGTACCTTCACTATAGGTAAGAATGGTGAGTATTGCTGGCAAGTCATAACTCATGCAGAAAAGGAGATCGTATTATAATCTTGCTGTCAAATTTCTCTGGTTTGTAACCCTTCGTAATATATTT